GGGATTGTCACTGAGTTCTCCCAAGAATAATAAAGGTTGTCTGCTATCTATCCTATACACACCTATTTGGGAGTGAGCTACTCCCAAATGGAGGACATTTCTGAGTACACATTGGCTTGCAAGAGTCTTCCTGTTTAAGGATGTTCCAGGGATGATGAGTGGGGGAAAGCAATGTGCCCTCTGCCACCAAGTAGCTGCAAGCAAACAAATTTAACATTAAAATGGGATGCCCTAACCATGCTTTGGAGACACAGCAGCTACGAGCTGAAGGCAGTGGTATGCAATAAGTATCACCAAAGGAGCCTTTTTTCAACTGTAATTGCAGTTTAAAAGCTGCATATAATAATCTCCTAAAAGGCAAAGATAGCGGCAAGTCCCGTTCCTCCCCTTGATCTACTTCTATCAAACCTTTTTTAATCTAAAATTATTGCTGGAAGATAAATGCCCAAATGTCACTCTTGATGTTGCCAAATTTCTCTCTCAGGCAGCTAGGATCAGAACCCACTATGTATAAAGGGCCAGTCAGGATTAGAGTTAGAGTTAGAGTTAGCTAGAGTTATATTTAGCAATTTCATCATCTCTCTCTCTTTTTTTTATTGTGGAGAACTTTGATGACTTGTATATCCTGAGTGAATGCCTAAATTTTGGGTCTGTGGACCATAATAAATTATGACTGACTGACGACTTCTACTGCTAATCTCTCCCCCAATTGCCCCCATGTTCAAGTGGCAACCACATATTTAGCACTATCTCTAGCATGCTTCTTTATATCTGGTAGGGCTTGAAGAACTGGCTACAAATGCACACTGCCAGAATTAGATTACTGCTGGAGCAACAGTGACAACTAGTGGCTATTTATAACAACAAAATGCAGGGGGGGGGAAATCAACTTTATAGGTCACCCTACAAAGGCATAGAATTCAGAGACGCAGTTGTGTTAATGTGAAATATCAGTACACAAAAATATTTTCTAGCACCTTTGAGACTAATTGAGTGAAAGAAGTTGTAGCATAAGCTTTTGCACACTAAGGGGCTGTGTCCTGCGTCTCCTTTCCTTGCTGGATCAGGGCCATGGCAACCCCACGCCATGGCCCTGATCCAGCACTTTGCTGCTCTAAAAAGAGCTGGCAAATGCCGTTCCTTTTTGGAGTGGCAAAAAGCCACCTTTGTCAATGTGGTGGCAGCAGTTTTTCCATGCTTCTTTGGAGCAGCGTGTCTGAACACTGCACCAAGGGAGTGCCCTGACGCCACCCGCCATGCAGTGGGGCACACAGCATGACAGCGGCATTGAGGCAGAGTTGGACCAGCCAGTGTGTGGCCACCACACCTCAACTCCACTCCCAGGCCGGCCCTTTTGGCCAGTCTGTATTCCCCCTAAGGGCCTTTGCAGACTGCTAGAAATAGTGCAAATTGAGTCC